GAAGAAGGAAGGAAAGAAAGACCACAGTGGTGTGTTGGACTTGCAGAGGGAGAGGGAAGACCTAGGGATACAAAGTGGAGTAGGGAAAGGGGGATAGGGAGGGAGGTCGGGGATAATTGGGTGGGGACACAGGGCGTAATCACAATTTTTAGTAATGGGCATGCTGCCAGTATGGATATGGCCACCACATCTTGGGCACAAGTGGTGACAATCAGCTTTGTATCTCATGAATATTCATAACCAATAAAAAAATGTACTATGAAAAAAAAAATGGCATGGGCCCAAATAGCTTCACAGTCATTTTACAAATGCTAAAATGAAATGTAGCATCACCTCACATAAAGTAACATCATACAATAATCTTTATTTGTCTAATACATACAGATATGGAGTAAATCACATCTTTTTCCTAGAAATAAACAAGCAAGCAAAGCAAAGAAAATATTGCATCGAATTTCTTGCCTTAATAAACTATAAAATAACCTTGATGTCTACTTACATATATTCCTTTTGTGACCACTATATTTTAAAAACATCAATTTAAGGAAGTGTTCTTTTAACAAGCAGCAGGTGCGAATTATCACTGCCTATGGTCAGGCATTGCTCTAAGTGCATTACAGAAACATCTCACTCAGTCATTTCAACAACCTTGTTTGGCAGAATGATGCAATAATATGTACACATTCAGACTGCCTAGATTAAAGCAGGACTTTAGACTTTGGAACTCTTCTGGTTTAAGTCCCAGTCTCCATCAATAACAAGTGAATGACTTTTATGATTTCTGTAATTTACTTTAAAATACATCAAAATAAATCACATCATAGATTCATGTGTTAGCTTAAGCTAAACTACAGGTACAGCTAGCATTCTATTTTACTACCCAGGGTGATTCACTTTGGTTTTTAATCACAAAGTTCACCCAAAACTGCTTCTGTTATCTGTAGTTCTATCAACATCACAAGCCTTACTAATTAACCAATTAGAAATTGGCTATTGAGGAAATTAATGATGTTCATCAAGATATGAGAGTTGGCTGAAATACTGTAGAGATACTATTCACTCTTGTATAATTAATGTGTAACAATTTAGTTCCTTTAGGGATGGGGTCCAAAGCCTTAATCCTAAATAGTCAGGTACCCAGCCATTCAGGCTGAATTTCCGGTTGCCTGATGCTTAATGACGAGGGTAACTAGATCCGACCTCTGGAATGTTGTCATCTGCCTCTAAGGAATTTCATGCAAAGTGGTGGGAAGAGAACCTAAAAGGACAGAAACCTGGGAGTAGGAGGAAGAGAGAAAAGGGAAAGAGAGTTGAGATCAGTGTTAGTCTATAGTAGATAGTCAGTGACCGTCCACTGAGGGTTTCTGCACAGCAGTGACTATAATGATTAATCATGGAATTTAATCTGGGTAAGGAGGGGAAAAAAGCCCTTGGGTGATTAGGGCCAATAAAAGGTAGTAGGATCAGTAGATGATAGGTTCCAGTGTGGTCAAAGGACTGTTAAAAGTTGGGGATGTTAGCAGAAATTAGATAGAAATAGAAAATAAGTAGTAGTACTCAGAGAGTTAAATGCTAGAAACTGAGAATGTGGAGAGTAAAATTATTTATGGTGCAAGGTCAAGGATATGACCGTGAGAATGGATGGCTAAGGTAAGATATTGGAAGGATCATCTATGTAGGATTGTTGAAAACATCAAGGATTATGTTAGAATCAGGGCTGGCAAGAGTCACAGTAAATCAGGAACTAAAATCTTCAAGCAATGAGGAAGAGTGACCCAGACAGTGGTAACTTAGTGTACCTGTAAAAGAAAACTCCAAAGCTGGCATGATTTTGGTCACTGAGATATGTAAGTGATATTTCTTATATCATAAGGACCTATCGATGTCTTACTTTTTTATTATATAAGACTAGCCTAGTTTAGCGTGTATAGATTAGCAGCTTATAAATCACTCCATCAAAAAGTTCCTGAAAAAATCACTATGTACTTAGCAAAATAATGCTAATGTCTTTACCAGGCACAGAAAAAGGAAAAACAGAGGTACCTTGAAATTTGGGTATCTTATAGTCCTTTTGAAAAATTCAGCTTGAAATTATTCAGTGTAGATGCCTACATATACCATAAAAATGCATAATTTCTAAAATATGCTACTGTTGAAGATAAGTAAGCCTAATAGTTAAGGGATCCAAGGTCATTTATTCATTCATTCATCCATTCATTCATTCAATATGTGGTGATCTCCTCAGCCAGGTAGTCAGAGAAGGGCAGCCTTTGCACAGTCAGTTGCCGTGTGTATATTCACGCTCAATTATTCTTATCTGTTAGTTTGTTGTAAATTATTAAGTAGAGCCTTCACAACTCTCAGTAAGATGGGGATTTATTATATTGGAATCAAATAACTCATGCAGAGAATGTATAATAAAAATCAAATCAATAGAAACTTCACCACAGTAGAAATAAACTCACAGTAAATTGAAAATTAAAATAGCATGTTTAACCAAAAAGACCTAGGATCCTCTCTTGTTAAAACTATAACTAGCTTTTGCCAAGCATGGAATCAAAAAGTATGATTTTACTTGATTTACTTCATTTGCTACAAATCTCATCCCTGAAATAATTTTCTGTCCTGTAATTTCCTTTTTTATCCTCTAGAGAATAAAAATTGCTTATATATCTGTCATATTTTAAATATGTCCTAAACTACCTTTAAATGTACTATTTAATACAGTTCAATAACTAGTTAGCTATTTCTAAGTGACCTGTCGCATTACAATAACTTCAGAGTGCACAGTCACCTTTCTGAAACAAGAAGTTCTTATGCAAATTCAGGGTAGATTTTCTAGGTGCTGTGACTGATTCTTTACCTACCTGATCTCCTAATCTTTACATTAACACTGCAAGGTAGGTTAATTATTTTGCACAGCATTTTATGCAGGAAGAAAACCGAATTTCAATGAGGTTAGGAAGGTCACAAAGTTGGTGTCTCCTGGAGGCTCTTGGATAGAGGTTGAGCCAGAGAGTTTGCCGCTATAGAGTCCAAGGTCAGTAGCTTTTCCCCTCTTCCACATGAAGGTGATAATTATATTGCTAATAATTATATTAGCTAATATTTGTTAAGTAATTAGAAACTACCAAGTATGTGCTAAGGTATTATATGTTTTTAAATCTAGAATAATCTTGTGATTAAGACACTGAATTATAGAGAGGGACAGTCATTTGCCTGAGATTATAAAACACAAAGCCTACTTAGCTGGGATCATGTCTAGGCTCTCTCTGAATTTTGAACTCACACTATAAACTGGATCATTAGTCTCAACATATGCTTTGCTACAATATGATGGTATGAAGATAAAGTCAGAGGGTTATGATAAAGTTGAGATTGTTTTATTTACTTTCATAATTTGGTAGCTCACATATTTTCTGGGTTTTTGTTTTTTGTTTTTGTTTTTAGTGGCTGGCGGGTACAGGGATTGAACCCTAGACCTTTGTGTTATCAGTACCATGCACTAACCAACTAAGCTGACCAGCCAGCCCCATAGCTCACATACTTTCTTTAAACTTCTGCAAAAACTCATAAAACTGGAATAATCTTTCTGATATTTACATTTTCAGATAATTTTAGAGAGAATCATTCCAAGTAATGTAGATGTCTTAATTTGTAGATGATTTTGCCTGTGTTTATAGCTCGAACCTTTCTTTGGTCAGGATTGTTCAATCTTACCCAAACATGGCCATACTAGGGATTCATATCTGGGTGAGTTTAACTAATGAAAGACAGGAAAAATACCGCAGCTAAGATTATGACTTTGCTCCTAACGTGGGTAAATTAAATATCCTCAGCCTTGCAATCTTTCAATCATAGTTATCCAGTGTGTAAATGCATACCTTTGGCCACTGCTAGACATAAAACCCAAATTCCAACACGGATAGCTTGTCACAAATCATGACTGCTACGGCACACTATTTTTTTTTTTAGAATTTATTATTGTTAAACTACCTGAGAAAACAGATAAATCATTCCATTTACTTTAAGAGAAGAATTACTGATGTGGTGTTAAAAATTTACTTTATGCAGTGCGAGTCATGTATTAGATTCTATTTGTTTTATGATCAAGTGAATAAATGAATGAATCACAAGTGTGTCTCGTGTATTCTTCACACACAGAATCAGATTCAAATCTGATTGTTTAGCACCAACTAAATGACAGGTTGGGTTTTTCAGACATTTACCTGAAAAGAGTCTGCACGTTCACAATTGTTTTGGCGTCCGCCATGTAGTCTTCCTCAGCACTCATGGTGCTTTCTTTGTCCACAACCACCATGTTGGCAGCAAAAGTCACTCCACACCTGAGTAAATCATCTAGGCTTTGGTAAAAATTGACAAAGAAAAATGGACTTTAAATAAAACCATAAAGTTAGAATCAGTGCTAAGACTTGCTTACCCTCTGTGCTTATATAAGTTGCTCTTACAGGAGGCTTTAACAGAGTGTGCACAGGTAGATATTAATGGGAATTATGGTATAATATTATCTACTGATATAAAATATTATTTGGGGTTCTTTACATTTTGTTAGATCTCAACTGTTTCAAGGCATGTGTGTTAAGAATCCTTATTTAATAATATTTATTAATTATATAAATGAAACATGAAAAACACCCATTTTGCAATCAAATCGAAGTAGAACAAGATGCAACTTTATTTTTACAGTTAACAAACAGCTTCAAAGACATGTTTACATTTTTTTTTTTTATTTCTAAGTTGCTTTTGGTAAGAGTAGAAATGAAAATTTCTGTATTAGTCAAGATGGTCAAGCATAAAGAAAAAAATATAAAACTATAAAATGTTTTTAAGTGTCTATTTTTTCTTTATTTAAAAGCTATGTGTTATAAATTGGTTCTACACAGACAAGAGCATGTGAAATATAAAGATATCTGCTGTATTCAAGCCTATCGTTTACTCAGCCTAAGTTTTGAGCAAGTTATTAAACAAGATGATTTCTTTGACTGCACAAATTGCTAAACTAGAATACAAATACCTGTGAGCTATAATTGAGTCAGTCTTCTCTCCTATCACTGATAAAAACCTTATGTAGCATTCTCCCAATGAACTAAAAGAAAATGTTTACTATTAAACCTGAAATAGAGAAATCATTATTCTCATTGCCTCTGTTTCATAGAAACTAGAAAAATAGGACTGAAGTGGATAATAAACTTAAATGAGTTCAAGAATGTTCTAAGTACAGAGTTGACTGGAGACAGATAAGAAGAGAAAGGTTAATTGATTTCCATCTCTTCTGATTTAAAACAGAAAGTTTAAAACTTAAAAAACAGCAGTTCCTTTTACATTCAGGCTCCGGAGGATCTTTTCTAAGCACATGTTTGGTTGAATTAGCCATGGTTAAAGGGAATTATTTTCCTTTTATGGAAAGGCAGGAGGCAGGATTTCTTACTCTGTTATTAGTTGAGAGAGTGTTACCAAAGCCTTGAGTCCAAGATCCCCAGGAGTAGTCCAGAAAAATATATTTCACTTGAATCAGGAACAATGCTCTGTGCCAGAGATTTTATGGCTAAAACTGTGAAAGCAGAATAGTATTCCAAATAAATTTCCTATGGTAAAAGGGGCCAGGACCATAACATCTAACCAATATGCTGACTGAAATTTGAATGCCTGGTATACTTAGGTCTTCCTTTCATCTAAGAACTTCATCAAAGTGTAGTTTATTCAAATGCATTTTCAAAAGAAAGTTAGATGAAAAATGAATGTGGTATGGTCCCTCATGTAGCATCAAAATGATACTTGAGTCATATATCTTTAAATCATCTTATAATAATTTTAAAATACTTTCTCATATTTCAGCTGACAATCTTTTTCCCTCATAAAAAAACCCCAAAAAACCAAAAACCTCTATTATAATAATCTATATAGGAAAAGGGAAATATAAGGGAGTAGAAGGTGAGATTGACTGAATAAGGATATACAGATAGAAGTTAAACTAGGAAAGATGAATATTTAATCAGCAATAATCTAATGAAGTCGAAGTTAATACTTGACAAAAAATTTCACTTTGAGAGTACCTGTACTAAAGAGCTAACATCTAGATATACCCATATGTATCAGTTAATCCCATCTTCAAAATATTGGCTGTTATAGTTTACATATAACCTTAGAAAATATTTTAATAATTATCATTATATATGAGTTTGAATCTATAGAAAATACATAAAATTGGAATATCTTTGAAACATGCAGGGTTTTTGTTCTTCATATTTTAATGTTAAGTTATTCTTTTTCTATTTATTTGATGTTACATTAATTCCTTTTTTCTTTTTGAGTAGGCCAACTAATTCTTATAACTCGTGTCTACTGTAATTTTCCCCCACTACCCTATTAACTAGGCCATTGCCTTAGTTTTTCTTCAGCATGCTTGCTTTACAAAGTTCGGCCACTAGATGGCGACCGAAGAAAGTCAATCAGGATGAAAAAGAAAGTTACAAGCTAATGGAATATGTCTCTCTTTCCTCCCTTTTCGAAGACCCCTTTTTCCAAGGACTACAGCGTGAAATGTACAAGTGTGAGGGAGAATCTGTCTGTAATTGCGTTTTAATTCATTAAGACAGGTTTTTCCCCCCTTAAGGAAGATCTCAAGCATAAGCCAAAAAAAATTGTATACGGTGAAACTCCATGTACCCACTACCAACTTCATAATTATCAATTTGTAATTTGTCATTGATAATTGATAGCCAATATTGTTTCATCTCTGTTCCTAGAAACTTAATGTTCTCAGTTCTTTTCCTCACCATAAATACTTTTGTAGAAGAATTCACTTCACAGTTGACATCAGAAAAAAGAGATGGGAGTTTTATTTTTTGTCTTTTAAATACACTGTTTTTCTAATGAATTTTAATAGAACACTATCATTTCAAAGTAACATTACTGGCTACAAAATATGTGTAGAATTTAATTGGTAATTTTAGTACATCTAACTACATTGATAATGTAAATTTATTAATGTAGAATGGAGGCTAAAAATATTTTAGTCTGGTTGACCTTTAATGTATCCACAGCTAATAAACACTTTGAAAAACAACTTTGTTCTTTCAAGATCTACAGGATGAAATGTAAACATTAAAGTTCCCAGTTGGTAAGGTTTAGCATTTTATTTTAAAGGCCCTGGCTGACAGTTTTTTAAAAAAGGAAAACATAGAATATTTTATATTATTTCAAGCATATTAGCTTTCTGATCTTTTTTTTTTTTTTCTGTATTTTATAATGTCACCATGATGCACATGTAAGAATTTGTATTTGGGAACTAATGCATTACACACATATGAGCTTTTAATTAACAAATATTTTAGAAATTATAGACTCTGACACATGACTAGAATAAAGTAAACTCCTAAGGGAATTCTCTAATTTATAAATCTAAGTTAAAATGAGCATTTAAAAATTATTTTGAAGGTTCCCAGAAGTTATGGTAATGATATCAATGCATCACAATGTTGAATCTTTAGCTTTTCTCTACCACTAATGTCAGTAGTAATAAGGTTATTTTTGTAGAAGACACAGAACTGAAATAGCTATAGGAACTGAGTAAAACTGACAAAATTGACATGCAGAAACACCTGTTTTAATTTAGTAGTAGATTATTGATTATAAGTTTTATACAAAATGTATAACATGAGAACATAAGCTATACATGCAAAATATATCATATTTGCAATACTGACATGACAAATCACACTTATCATGCAGTAACAAGGCACAACACATGACAAACCACAGGACAGTACACTAGTTAGTGTGCCAAAGATTTTGTCACCTACTTGTCAATAGAGCCCACCATGTAGTAAACCATTGGAAACCAACAGATTGCATCCAGAAAATGCATATCTGGCCTAAGTAGCAGATGGGTTACAAAATGAAACACAATGTCACAGAGTGGCAGAACTTCTAGGGAAAGGAAGTAAGTTGACACAGTTTGCATTTCCAAAACGAAACACTGCTGACAAGGTTAATTTTAAGTGGTGTTTTTCTTAACATTAATTAGAAAATATCACTTGCACTTGTTATGAATCATACAATACTCTCAGAATTATAAAAACAAGTTGTATTTTAGCTGTCTAAATCAGAAACATTATGGCATAATTCTACAAAAGTACCAAATTGATATTCTTAATTATGAGTAAAGAACAATCTTATCAATGCATTTAACAGTTATCCATGCTAAGGAGGCCTTAGAAAATGAAGAACTAATTTTTTTTTCTTAGACGACCTAAAGGATAGGGTACTAATGCCTGTTAAGAGCAACTATTAAGCATATCTTTTAAGAGCAACATTTTCTAAGGTATATATATATATATATATATATATATATATAATCAAAGCATGCCTCATAATATATAAACATATCAAATAAATATAGTATGTATTCCATAAAAAAATGCATTATTTAAATTTACAATGAAAGTAATTCACCTTTTAATTTATTGATTTACTATATATATATAGCATTAGAAACTGAGTAAATATATATATATTTATATATAAAACATATCAAACATTTCTGATGACCGAAATCTTTAATTATGTGCATATTTGAGGAAAGTAACATAAATTGGAAAGCTTCCGTAGAAATCACTTAATCTATTATATTCATTTTACAAAGTTATTAATCTGTCTCTGCATCTGTTTCTCAAAATATGTGTATCCGAAAAATATACTCAGTCATATACAAAAAAATAATATCATGTTAACTTGTAAGAAATAGAGTTTTTTGAATTCGTGTATAAAAACACACAATTACAGTATCTGTTTTAATCTGAAAAAACAAACAATACATTGCACTTAGGAAGCAGAAGTGGGACCCGTTTCACAGAGGTGGCATTTAGTTCGGGTGTTGAAGGATCAGCAGGATTTTGTCCAGTGCAAGAGAAAGAGAGGGACACGCTAGGCCCAGGGGATTACAGCACCTACGATGTCCCAGATGCTTATCCCCAACTACATCAACTCCTTTCCTTCATGACAACTTGTTGATTAACCTCCTATCTCTTCATGCTCTGAAGAAAAAGAATGCTCAACACATCACAGCATGAAAAAGAAGCCTTCTAAAGAATACCACTGTTAAATTTTGATTAAATTCTTATCATTAAATTTCTTGGTAGTCATTTAAATGGCCCAATATTATTACATCTTATAAATGTGCTACAGTTCACTTAAAAAATCCTCAGCTATTTAGTTTATAAGTTATTTTCACTATTAATTATTGAAGTTATCAGTTATTTCCAATACCGTGTTATTATACATAACACTACTACGACTAGCGTTATACTCTGGGTGACTTTCAGTTTTAAATTTTTCTTTTAGCACTGGTTTTCATCATTACCCCAAAACATTCATAGAAGCAAGATTAGTAGATCACAGTCTATAAACATTTGTAAAGCTCCTGATGTATGTTGTTTTCAACAAATATTATAACACAATAGGCGAGGACACTCCCAGTAGCAGTTTCTAATAGTGCCTTATTGTAAGGATTTCTAGTTCTTTTTCTGGGCACTGTCTTGCTTCTCAAAAATAGGAGGGCCATTCTGATCACTAATTCAAGATGCTCTATGTCACTCTGACCTTGTCTTATGATTATAGAAGCATGGGCGAGAATGAAAGTACCACAAAAATGGGGTGACACTGAGATTTTATAGGAGTTTGAAAAATCCTTTTGTTTGTGTCTTTTTGGGGGGGGAGCTATTGTTTTTATTTTCTTCGTTCTTAGCTTTTCATATAGTTCCTGTTAGATAAAGTATTTCAAGTAACTATAATTTATGTGGCAGAGCTGGGTCTGTAATTCTTCATTATTATAGATATACTCAGAGTGAAAGAGTCTCCTTTTCAATCTGACCCCTTCTTTTAGGCTCAGATCATTTCAATTTCTTCATACTGTCTTTTCTGATCATTTGTCCACTTTGACATATCTTTCTTCTAACGTCTGGCCACAGTGTTAAATAGATGAACCTGGAGAAATTTATGTTGAGTGAAATAAGCAAAGCACGGATGGATCAATACCGCATGTGCTCACTCATATGTGGGAGCTAAGAGAGAAAGAAGGAGGGAAAGACAGACCACAGTGGTGCGTTGGACTTACAGACGGAGGGAACATTCCTAGGGCTTCAAGTGGGAAGGGGGAGGGGGCAGTAGGTTGGGGAATAATTGGGTGGGGACACGGGGTACAAAAGTAATTTGTGGTAATGGGTATACAGCCAGTATGAATCTGGCCCTCACATCATGGGCACGAGGGGTGACAATTAGCTGTGACAATTAGCTTTGTATCTCATCTGGCCCTCACATCATGGGCACGAGGGGTGACAATTAGCTTTGTATCTCATGACTATTCACAATAAAAAAAATAGTATTGAGTCATTCAGTTCAATAAATATATTGAAAATCTTCTGTGTCATAACAAGTGCTAAGGTACCTGGGAATAAAGTAAATCTTGCTGTTATGCCAACCCTTCTGTGAGAGTTAAAACTGAAGATAAGCCCTTTGTTTTCATTGCTTTGTCTAACTGGCCATCAAAATTATTGCTTTACTTTAGGAAAATTATACATTGTGGTCACATGCAGTTCTGCCACAAATATGCATTTAATGGGCAAGTAATCTTCAAAATCCTTAGAGATTGCTTTAACATATGTGCTGTGGTAGAATGGGTCATCCTTACACGAATTCAGCTATGGTGAAGGTAAATCAAGTCCCCTGAACCCTGATAAATATATAATCCTAATGAAACATATCTGATGTAAAAGGTCTACTATGCCATACTCTTTACAAAATTTAATTTTGTATAAAAAACAGATACATTTACTACTACCTTTTTTTTTTTTGCAGCTGGCAGGTACAAGAATCCAAACCCTTGACCTCATTATTATCAACACCATGCTCTAACTAACTGAGCTAACCAGCCAGCCTTATTCCGGCTATTGAAAAAGACGGTTTAAAAGTAAACCTTAAACGTAAAGAATAAAGCAATTGCACATTTACGTGTACTGTGACAGCTCATTTAAACAAATTGGCAATGGTATTTACGGCACCAACCTGCTTAGTAATTGAGTAACATAAATGACATCATATGCTCTTAATAGACTAATCTGTTTAGTCACGGGGAGACAGTTCACTGGCAAGTGTAACCCTCACATTGAGAAGCATTATTATTGATAAATATAAACAAAAACATAAAGCATTCATGAAAATAGATGTTCCCTTCTTAAATTACACCCCAAAACTACAGATGAAGAGTTGAAAGGGGAAATATAAAACCATTAACACAACAGAATAAGATGTATGTAATTTTTTTTATCTGGCTACTAAATATAGAAGGCCTAAGTTAGAAATTATGTTAAGGAAATGTGCTAAAAATGATTGACAGATTGAACTATATAGCTCATCACAAATATTTTAAGATATAAAAAAGAAATGTCAAAAAATTTATAGATCAAATTTGCTTAACACAAAAGGAAGTACTTTAAATCAATGAGAACGATAAACATGATAGGAAAATAGATCTAGGACAGAATAAATATGCATAGACCAAAGGCAGAACAAAACAAAACAGGCTGAAACTAACTTGTATTAAATGAAATAAAAATTCAACAAACACAAAAGGTAACTGATGTTAGTAAACTGAAAAAAATGAGCACATTTTTAGAGTCCTAGCTGTAATTCCATTAAGAAAGATTACTTATGAGCCTAATGCCTTATATCCTTATAAAAACTCTCATGATAAAAATTGCCATTACAGGCAAATAATGAATAACTATTGATTGCTAGGAAGTGAAAAAGTTTGAGAATTTGCATAATACAAGACCATTATTTCTTTCCTATTTAACTAATAACCATAATAAATTTCTATATTTCCAATTCAAGAAATGAGCGCAGTTTGTTTTTATGAGCAGTTTATTTTGTTAATATTTCATAATTCCACTTCTAAATAGTTTATTTCTTCCTAAAAAACATAAAAGTAGTTCAATTTAAACTACGTAAAATACATATTTTTTTATTAATGAGGTTTTCACACCAATCCACACATCAGATCAAATAGTGACAGTTCTATTTTCTTGATTGGCAGAAGAAAAATTGACATTTCCTGACTACCTTTTATGAGTCAGATATTGCTACAGTGCTTCATATACATTATGTTATATGATCTCATGATAACTTGTTGAGATAAATGTTCTAACCACTTTACAAACCAGAAAAACGAGGCTTAGAGATATTCAATAACAGGTAACAGGACTATCCAGAGGGTAAGCTTAAATCTTATCTCAGATTTCTATGAGTCCAAAGTTTGAATTTCATTGATAAGGACACTCCTATATCAGATGTTTTATCATTACTTTTAGAATAAGCTGGACTGAAGTTCACTTGGCACTATATGTGAAAAGATTCATTTAATAAACGGGTAGTTGTAAGCAAGACTTTGGTAAAAATGAAGAACAGAAGCTTGGACCTTGCACTTCATCTTTGTGTAACTTTGGGTAACATATTCCAGCTTTTGACTCACTTTTCTATCTTTCATATAAAATGGTGCTGCCAGATAACTAGATGACATTTAAGGTTGGGTGGTAATCAAAATATTTAAAATCAATATTGCATAACAGACCAAACAGAACAGTCGCCAACCAATCAGAACAGACACCTGGTCTAATGAACCATAACTAAGTGAAAGATGCTTTTCAGTATGACTAAGTTTTACTTAATTGCCATATGAGATCTAGAAGGCTTTCTGTTTGGAAATATTGTGTACACTTATTTCAGCATATTATGTATATGTATATCATAAATTTAATTTACATTTGAAAGTTTCATACTTGTGACATCTGTTATTATTTATTTCTGTTATATTGAATCAATTGGTTTTCAGCTAAATTTCCTAAATAGCTGTGTACCGAATATTATCTTCAGCAATGCTCATGTTAATTTAAAATAAAGTCAAACCCCTAAAACTAATTAACAATTACAGAAGTGCATTGTACAAATTGCTATAACATATAAGAATATAAATTCTTATAACAAATTCGTATAACATTTTAAAGAAGAAAGCATCATATTTCTTTGTAATATTGTAGGATGGATTGCAAAAATTACTAGTCATTTCAGAGCAATAGATATCTCATTGTTTAAAAAGAATAAAAATTGCATAAAACTTCCTGGAACATTATTTGTACGTGTTTAGTTTTTGTTTCCTCATTCTTGACTAAAGGAACAGAGGACAAGAGGACAACAAATAAAAATGTTTGACACCACTTTCGGGAAGTACACAGAAAGCTAATAGATTTTATGGCATGCACCTTCAGCCTAACCTTTTGAAATAAAGTCAAACCCCACAAGAATTATCTATCAACATCATGTGAATAGTTGGATTCCAAAATGTAAGCCATTAGGAAGCCAAAGGGAAATTTTAGTAAAAAAAATCTGAAGTTAAATATATTCTTGTTTCTAAGAAGAACTGACAAAATTTTTTTTCATATACCAAAAACCTGTAAATTAAGTAAAATTGCATATTAAAAAAAACAAAAACAAAATAAAACAACAGTATGCTAGGAATTGCATAGAAGGTTCTAATCCTAGAATTGACCCTGGAATTGATCATTTAACTACATTGGGTCTGTTTTATATGGTCTGTAAAATAAGAGACAATAGGGCCGGCCCGGTGGTGCACTGGATAGTGCGCCGCTTGGGAAGCGCGGCGGCGCTCCCGCCCGAGGGTTCGGAT